AGGACAGTCCCTCAGGGGTGACACTGAAGACCACCTGCTGACCACACTCCCTGCAGCTGGGGCAACAAGATAGTCCCTGAAGGGGGTCTGGGTGGCACATTAAGGTTTTCCACACATGTACTATTTTTCATGAAATATTTATTTTATTCATTTTTTCCAATAAGTAACACACGTCCAATAGTATTGTTGGGTGCCGCAAGTCAGTTCTGACTCATAGTGGCTCCGTGCAACAGAGTGGAACTGCCCCATAGCTTTCTCTAGGCTGTAATCTTCATGGAACAGTCTTTCTTCCACAGAGCTGCTGGGTGGGTTTGAACCACCAATCTTTTTGTTTGCAGCTGACTGCTTAATCATTGAGCCACTAGGGCTCCTTTGTACAATCGTGCAGACTTTCAAAGGAATAGAAGGATAGATGAGTAAAACTACTATTCTTGTCCCTGTTTTAGGAAGTTCTAAAGGAGGCCCAGGAGCTCTGGTGGCATAGTGTCTAAGACACTTCACTACTAACCAGAAGGTTGGTGGTCCAAATCCATCAGCCACTCCTCGGAAGGAAGGTTGGGCAATCTACTTCCATAGTGATACCACCTCGGAAACCCAAGGAGAGGTCGCTATGAGTTGGTTCCGACTTGACGGCAATGAGTTTGGTTTTTGTTTAAAGGAGGTCCAGAGAAGTTAAGTGATTGCTTCTAAGTAACACAATTCATAGGTAGCAGAGCTGGGATTTGAACTAATGTCTGTCTGACATTTTACACTACCACCTCCTACTGAGGGGTGTATCAGGGAAGGCTTCCCGGGTGACATCAGACCTCCTCTAACTTCATGAGTGGGAGGAAGAAGCACCATCAGCCTCAGGCCAAGGCTGATTCCTATGAGGCTAAAGTCAGACATACTTCCACCCACCAATGTTTTTTAACCAATTCTGACATGAGCCGTCTCCCCCACAGCACTTTCTACTTCTCTGCCCAAACTCACTGCCATTGAGTCGACTCCAACTCGTAGTGACCCCATTGAGTTTCCTAGGCTGTAGATCTGTGGAAGCAGACCACCCCATCTTCCTTCCACGGAGCAGCAGGTGGTTTTTAACCACTGACATTTTGGTTAGTAGTCAAATGCTTTAACCAGTAAAGCACCAGAGTTCCTTACTCCTCTGCTGGGTTTGATCATTCATTGCAATGGCCACACAGAACTCAGACCATACTCACAATTATGGGGTTTTTAGGGAAGTAATAGGTTACAATTCAGGATCAGAAATGACTCAGGATGTAGTTCTTTGGTCAGGACAGTTTCTTAGCCACGCCCACAGGCACACCTCTCTCTCAGCTCTGGCCCCTGGGCCTCTGTTCTGCTCAGGCAAGTGTTACAAAGTTCCTTAGCTCTCCTGATCAATGCTTAGAGGCACCCTACTCCCCCAGGAACCCTTCTCCCCAAAAACTCTCAGTTCTCTTGACTCAGGGACTGGCAGTCCCACTGCCTTGTACCAGTCCCCTCACCGCCCCGGTTCTGCTGCCCTGTCTGTGCCATGGACTCTGTGGTGCTTGCCATCTCCTGCAATCTCTGGTGTTACAGAGCTCAGCCTGTACCCTGGGTCTAGAAGGTTCTCAGTGCAGGGACCCTGGATCTAAAGAATGCACTCTGCTCCTGACTCTTCTTGTTGGTAGCAAGGTCCCCTCTCAGCCTCCAGGATTGTCTCATTTGAAGCCTAGCAGGATGCCAAACTGGTCAATCCCCTCGTTAGGGTTCCATACACCTTATCTGCATGGTTCCACCCCCACAAGCGTTCCATACACCTTGT